AAAAAAAAAAAAAAAAAGCCATCACCCGTGTCGTCTTTGTCTGGAGTCCAACAGTCCGTCCTTGTCCTGTGTCCTTTCTCTTATTCTACACTGTACCATTGCATGTCCACCAAAGACAGTTGATGGGGAGGGAACGGGTCCGGGAATTCTGAGGGTGAGCGCAATGGCACTCTATGGTCCACTTTAGTCCATTCCTTGAAGCGGACGCAGTAGTAAGAATTCCTCCTGCTCCTGCCCCGAGGATTGTCCACTCTCCCATCTAATGTAGGCAATCCAGCCCCCTTTTTCGCTACCCAGCCAGTCCCCTGAGGATTGATTAATTGCTTGTGTGATGTTTTTCTTTGAGTGGTATGTCTGTAATTGATTCTTAACCTTCTGCCATCGTGAGAGGAGCTCTTGCTGTATATATTGTTTTATTATTTCTGTTACTTCCTTTCCATCCATGCTAACTCCTTCAATGCTGTACGTGCAGCGCTTCCTCCAAAGTGCCCAAATAATCGCTCTCCTCCCTATCTACGAATCCCCTGCGGCAGCGGACAAGCGCGGCCAAGTCCGTGGCCGCGGACGAGGCCGCGAGGCTGCGGACGCGCGGCTTTGGCGGCACGTGGCGGCCAGAGGGGAGGGGGGTTCGGGATTCGGGAAGCGCCATTGGGGCGGCGCAACCCCGGCCCCACCCCCCCACACAAAAAAAAAAGAAAAAAAAACATCTTTTGGTTGAGGGGGTTGGGCTGCGAACGAGGAGAAACGAAGAAGAAAAAAAACGAACGCATTTTTTTTTTTTTTTTTTTTTTTTTTTTTTTTTTTTTTTTTTTCTTTTGCCCGGTCAGGCAAGTATTCCACCCTAGTTTGCTGGGGAAAAAGGAACTGGACTGAATCCGACTGATGCTACCCAGAATAGAATCAAGCCAGGACCATGCGATACTGTTTTTAAATAAACAAGTGGACCTGCCGCAACTACGCTGCGGCTAAGGACGATGACAAAACATTTTGCGAAACACCCTAGCCACCAGTTGGACCCCATCTTTGCAATGTACCCCTACCGGACGCATAACACAAATATGTCAGCCCAAAAGGCCATTCCACTGTGCCCATATCTTTTAGGGACATTTTGACATATATCTGAAAGTATGGGGGTATTTGGAAAATCCCCCCCCCACCAAAAAAAAANTTTTTTTTTTTTTTTTGAAAAACAACCCGATCAGATGCTAGATGTGTTGATAAGAGCAGACACGCCTAGCACCGTCGGGGAGGCTCCATCTATTGGTGGGGAGCAGCACCTGCTGGAAACCGGGTCCAGCGTCCCATGAAAATAATTAATGGATAGTGCTCATGCTGGAAACCGGGTCCAGCGTCCCTTTGTTTCGTAGAAGTTGAATGGAATTTAGAGAGTTGAGTTGAGAGGACCCAAGGATAGCTAAGGCAAAAGAAATACTTAAGTTATGGGGGGGGATCACGCCTCTTCACCCAATTGGGCGCCAGATATCTCATACTCATCTAGCAGTAATCACATCCCTTTTCCTCAATAAAACCAATGAAACCAGAAAGAACAGGTATTACTTCTGAAGAAGGACTAGAAAGAGAGAGTGCAGAAAACAAGAAAGGGAG